CCTAAACCCTGAACCCTATAAGCCTTCAAAGCCCTAAAAGCCCACAACTTCGCGCGGAGGGCAACAGCCTTGGTGGCTTCGTTCTCGGCAGCAGCGGCCTCGCGAGGTCCGGTGCGCTCTACTTCCGCCAGGCCGGCTCGTGGGATTTTTGGATTTTTAAGGGTTCAGGGCTCACGGGTTTTAAGGGTTTTTAAGGATTTAGGGTTTAGTGGCTTAGGATTTGGTGTTTATAGGGTTCAGGGTTTAGGGTTTCCAAACAAGGTCGACGATTATGATTGGAATGGGGCTAGAAGGGTGTTGGGCTTAGTATTTTGAGCGTTCCTTTGAAGATATTCGAATGGGTTTAGGGTTTCACATTGTTTCCGGGCCTTTTTCAAAGGGCTCTATAAAGGGCTTCTAGTTTGTGTAAAGAGGCTCTGTACGGGCTTGTCATATAGTATGGTATGTAGTATAGTCCTGCATAGTATAGTAGAGTTGAGTTGAGTAGAGGAGTATAGTATAGTAAAGTATAGTTACAGTATAGTACAGTACAGCATAGTATAGTATAGTAGAGTATAGTACAGTATAGTATAATAGAGTAGAAAAAGTAGAGTAGAGTAGAGTATAGTGTGATGTAACATAATATAACATGGTCTGGTTACTGCATGACATTATATATCATGTTATACAGATGTTGGAGTGTGTGTGTGTGTGTCTGCACCAAGATATTTTCTACGACAGCACATTGTATACCCATGGGAAAGTGTGTATCTACAAATATTTACATGCACGTTATGTGCATGTATCGAGATGTGTATATATTTTATTTATTTATTTACATCATGCAAACATTCGTAAACATTCTGGCATGTTCAATATCACCACAAATATAGACCATAGCCATGGACACGAACAAATACTGATAAACTCTGGCCCTCGGGGCAAACTTGCAGGTAAACATTCTCGCTCGGACTCCTGCAATGTATCTCAAGTTGTCCCTGTTGATGTGTGGCATATGCCTACATGTGGCATGTGTTGCGAGATGTTGATGGCATTCAGCCAGCATCGTTCAATCGTGTGTCCCTCCGGCAACCTAGGTATCAGAATCTTCCTCAGCATACCCTGCATGGACTGTTTCAGCGGCATGGCGTGTCCTTTGCAGTACATGGTTTCATGAAGTGCCAGATGTACAAAAGACTGTGGGTTCGCCACGACTTCTCAGCTAGCTTCGAAGTGTTTGCAGTGGTTCAGTGCAGTGTTCCCTCGGGACTGTCCTGCTGCAACGAAGGCAGGCTCCTCCTCCCCGACTTGAACTTTCGTGTGCAAGTTCCGAAAACGATGCCAGTCTTCAAACATGTTTGATCTATGTAACCCGTGCCACAAACAGGTCGAGCTTAGATGACAGGTGGTGCTTGGCATAGTCAGGATCGGAAGAGGCTATAGGCTTGTCAGACGGATGCTCGAGTCGATCAAATCTCTCACTTCCGGTCGCTGTTTCTGCAGAGACCTAAATCCGGAGACATTACGACGGCCCTTCTCTGCATCTCGGCACAAGCGCAAGCAAAGCGATGCCGAGCAGCTCTTCCCACATGTCGATGATGAAGTTTGCACCTAGCACAAGTCACCGGCCACACTGCTTCGTGGCGCGAAGCCTGTTAGCCAAGTAGCTGCTGGTCAAAGGCTTCCTCTGCGCCTTGGCGACAGGCCAAGACCATGCCAAAAAGGCGGCAGCCCCCAGCAGGGCCAAGAGTCCTCTGCCGGGCGCCGAGGCTCCAACCTGCGCCGCCCAGGGCCTTGCAGACCTTGGCGAGGCCTCGCTCCTCAAAGCGACAGCTGGGGTTTGGGAGTTTGGGAATGGGTTTGGGGACACACCAGGGCCTTCACTCTGCAAGCAAGCAGCGACAAGATCTTTTCGTCCAGCTCTCGTGCCGCCGCCGCATTTGAAGCCATCGCCTGCATGGAGAAGAGACAAGTCGATGTTCACGCACGCATGGCCCGCCCAGGTGCCCTTCCCAGGTGCCCCGCGAGGTACCGAGTCCTATTTTCAGATTTTAGGCCTTAGCCGACTTTCTGCAACCGAGACGCAGACGACCGGACCTCGCAGTCACAAGAGCCACAGACTGCATGCTGAATCTTCTACGCGCCGTCTCAGGCCCCAACCCGCCCTCGCTGCTTCTCGATCTGCTCGTCAATAGAAGCTGGCATCTCCTCTTTTGTGGTAAAGGCCTCCCAAAAACACGGGCATGTGTCAAATCTGTGCGGGAGGCACGGCTTAGGACTTGAAAAACAGCCGACATTGCCTGAGCCAAATCAGACGCCATGATCTCGAGGCTTTGAGACACCTGCAATGGCAAGGACTTCTCAAGAAACAAAAACTGGCTGCAGACTGGCATGCAATGCAGGGAAGCTTATCTTTCTGACGGGCCTTGGAGAAAGTTTTCAAGTTCCGTCTCCCGAGTTTCTTGATGAGCTGCAAGAGCCTGCAAAATCTGGGAAATCGGCGGCAGCTCTGACAGCCCAACTCGAAGCAGGCAAGCCTGAACTGTTGATTCTCGAAGATGAGAACCTCAACAGGCTTGTACTTCATGTAGTCCTCGATTCGGCTGATGAACCTTCCAAGGGCAAACTAACTCGAAGGGGCCCTCGTGGATGCTCAAAAATCTCGGTCTTGACAGTCGAAGCTAACAACATCTCGGCCTTTAGACAAAACTTCGGAACAACTAATTGCTGGAATCCTGGACTCCGCAGACAAGCTGCAGCGAGATCGATACATACCCCGTGGAAGTCGTGTCCTTGGCATGCTCGGGGGCACGAACTGATGGGATCAAACTGGAAAGTCTTAGTGTGCTTGCCTCCCAAGAAGCCCCTCACACGGCCTTGAACTACACCGCGCTGTCGCAGCATGCCGCATTCGGACATGATGTCAGCATCAGTATGGTCTTTGGGATTCAGTGCATCAAAGTATCCAGCTCGTGGAATATCTTCCTCGCTTCTGGGAGACCTCAAGCTGAACTACTTGAGCATTGCTGATGTCTCGGACACAGCAGCTGCATGGCTACTGGCCTGCTGCAGAGGCTACTGCTAGTGGGAAACTACAACTATGGCAGACACAGGCACCGACGCCCACATCCGCCAGTTCGTCCAAATGGTGCGGCAACACAGCAGAAACGTCGCTAAACGAGATCGCGCCGGTGTTCTCTCTGTCCATGTCCTTAGAACACACCCAGCATTAACAGTGCTGTGCAAACGTGCTGGTGCTTAACTATCCAAATCAAGCGGCACCAGTTCAGAAATCGAGCAGAAAAACACACTCAATTCAATCTATAACTAGAGGAGGAAGAGGTAGAGTTGTCGGGAGCAGGAGAGTGTTTGGTTGATTTTGGTAAGTACACCGGACAGATCAATCCGCCTCATCGATCAAGTTTAGAAAACGACGGAGCAACTCCTCCACTGGGCCAGAAGAGCCGCTTGTTGAAACTCCAGACTTTTGAGGGTGCCGCCAAACCATCCTTGCACACCCACCCCTGCATCGCCTGGCATCCGTTCGGTGAATCCTGCAGGCTCCGAGTGCTGAAGCTACCGTTGCGGTGTATCCTCACCCTTTCTGCAGTCAGAGACACGGAGCCTACAAGCGGACAGCATGTTGGTCAACCAATTCGGCACCCACATAGAACGCAACTCCTTTGCCGAGTACTTGCATTCTGCCACGCCACGTGAATGGCTTTGACGAAATGCTTGAGAAGCTCCTGGGCACAGCAGACTGGCCTCCCTTCCGCTCGATCTTTGTGCCACCGTCCTGGGTCAGCTGCTGGAGCTCAGAATCCTTGAACTTCGTGACATTCGTGAATTCGAAAGACTGGTCCACCTCTGACAGTTTTGGAGTCGAGGAAGGCTCGCTTCACTGCGGCAACTCCTGCTTTGTTACTGCCGCTTTGTGCCGCTCGCCTGGTGCACGAAGACTCCTCTCACAATGTTCAGCCACAGCATGACGCCAAACGTAAGGAAGCCAAAGAAGACGATCCCTGACAGGCTTCGCCATCAAACCCGGAAGCTTCTTGAGAGTGGGCTGTCCCTTTCCACACAGATCCTTGCTACCTGTACCAGAGTGCCGCTTATGCAAGCCAGGTGCCGCTGATCGCGGTGTCCGTGCTGAAGAGCAAGGTGTTTGCCAGCTGTGGCCCCCACTCCACACCTCGACACAACAATCAGCCAACCCGTTCGACACGAGTTTGACATGGCACGGAGTCGGCACAACAAAAAAACATAAGATGTCTGAACACGAATCCACGAATCTCCTTCCCTGCACGTGCAAGCTTTGGCTTTTGCTGCCTCCCAGCAAGCACTCCACCAATGTAAGGTAGGCAGAAGCCACGGAAGAGAAGCGAGTACCTTCCCAGGCTTTGTACAGACTGTGCTGACCCCTCTACCATCAACCTCACAACTAAAGATCAGGATGTTACTTGAAAAATCTGTGCACTGAAAAAGATGCTGTGGCTCGCAGCTCTCCCAGCTGAGATACGGATCACAACCGGAAGGCTGACGTGGACAGGACTGCTGGGACCCACGAGCTCGCACAAGAGCACGGAGGCGGCAAACAACCTGAAACGCAATCAATATACATGAGGCAACGAAGAATTACTGTGAAGCTGCACCATCGGCCCACCGTGTGCTCTGCGCTCTAATCTCCCGTCGTTGCTAGGCCGAAAACCCTGGACCACAGACACTGCAATTGCAGTCGAAGCGGTTGAAACATGCACGGATATGTCTCATTCTCGCACAAGTCATGTTTGCCAATGTATGCTGCCACGCATCATTGTGGCCAAGTACATGGTCATGGCGAACAAGTAGCTGAGGGAGTGCTTCAGACCCATGGCCTTACGCGAGAAAGAGAGAGAGAGATAGACGAGAGAGAAAGAGAAACAAGGACAGAGAGAGAGAGAGAGCGAGAGAGAGAGATATATATATATATATATACTTTTACATATATATATATATATATATAGACACATATAGAGAGAGTTAGATAAAGAGCGGGAGAGAGATAGACGAGAGAGCAATGCTAGCATTCTAGTCGTTTTTGAAGGGCATTCCTTGACGACAATGCGAAAACTTCATAGGCAATTGCCAGTGAAATCCAACCGCACATACACTTTGCTTGATTCATTTGCTTCGTCTCAGACAGTAAGTGGGAGTCCCGAGACCCAAACCACTTTGACATGCTGCTGTGCGGCGGACAGATATAGTGGTCGGAGCCACTTGATGCTCGCCAGTGTCATGATGCCTGCACGTCTGCCCCCATCTTGCTGTGAAATTGTGCAAGAGCAACAATGAGAGACCCGTGTCGCATGATGGAATCAAGCCAGAGAGCATCCCTATACAAACTGAACACCACTGTTCTCGCAGCACCGGTTCCGATGATCGTCGGATAGTGAAAGGTGGTGCACGAAGGCAAGATTGCAGATGCTCCGATAAGAACAGAAGGAAGCAGCAAACCGACAAGCAAGAACAGCGACTCATATCCTGCCCACCTCGTGCAATCCGGCAGACGCGAAACAGACTCATTACAGTTGTGATGGCGATGTTGTCCAACGATTGTCTTGACAGTGGTCGCCAAATCCACATTTCCACTGCTGGGATCCTGGGACTGACAGCTTCAAGGGCCATGCAGACCGTCCACGGCAACATGTTTACACAGCATGCACGCAATCAGGCCACTAAAGGACGATGAAGGAAAGACACAACACATGACACACTGTGCACCACTCTGAAAACAAGTAGGAGCACAGTGGATCGGCTCTCCTTTTCTCCCACTTCCCAGCATGACTCTGCACACAGAAAACTCCTTCTCGAAAAAGTCTCACTCTCACACTAGACAAAAACTTGTGTTGGTGCTCGCTGGTCTTACAATGAACGGCCAAGGATCACTATCACCACGGTATCAAGGAGCAGCAGCGGGTCTTTCCACAGCTGCCACTTTGCCTCAACATTCAGCTCAACTCACGAAGCTGGTTGAAGACGTCATCATGATAGAGTGTAAACATGTGTAAACATGTGTAAACCTTAAATTGTATAAGATAAAGCAGCGAGGGGACGGGAAGATCCAAGAGACGTAGATGCAAAACTGAGCTGTGAGGCAGGAAGGAACGTCGACAGGATCGATGCTCTTCTTCAGTCTTTGGATGATGCGTGCTTCCTATAAACAATGCATCCCTGGACTTACTGCGATTGGGATTTATGGACGGATCGAAAACATGACTAACCGTCTACGGAACATTTCGGGCACACTCGGCTCTCTCTGCACACAGCGCGGGCTTCTCTGGACGAGGGGAAGTGCCAAAAAGGACGCAAAGCATTGGATGTGCGTCACCATGCAGCCTTACAGAAAACACTGTCAACACCAAAATACAAACCTCACGACTAGCGATCCACACCTGTGGTAAGACCCCGCGAACCAGTTCCCTTCACCGTACTTCGAATAATTGCTGCATGGATTGCTGCATCTTCCAACATCAGCCTCCCAGAAATCCAACAGAAGCATGACAGTCTTGAAACTGAAACATCTGAAAAAGTGTCCATCTTGGATTTCGGCACGTCGATGCATGGAACAACATGCTGAACATCAGTCCGAAAGCGGAACATCATCACCTGCTTAGGCATCCCATCATGGACCGGAATGTAAGGCGGCACAGGTACCCCGGTTCTATCGAAAACTCGCGTGGAAGCGATGCCCGGCTAAAGCAATCCGAACGACCTTGGTTCCACCTTCTGTCGTGCATATCCCCAGTCCCTACTGCATACTCAGCTGCATAGTGAAAAAGGCGAATCAGAAGCTCCGCAAAGAAGAGGCCTCTCAACAAATCCAAGCAAAAACTTCCTCTGCAATGTCGCCGTCTTGCCAGCATGTTGGGAAAAAAGCTAATTGCCGCAGGCCTGTGAAGACGCTCTCGACCGCGTAGTATACGTCAAGGTTGTCAATGACTTGATGTTCACGCATCACAAAGCCATCGGCGTGGATACCTGGTAGACCAGCCCATGTCACAGCGAGCTGCGTGAGCTTCAAGCGTCAAAACACAAGACGAAGTTCCACAAGGATACATGACGGAGCGATGTTACAGATGCTGAACGCTTATGTAAAAGCTGTGCATCAGAGCATCCCATCCAGAAGGTGTTGAGAGTGATCAACGTCACATTGAAGATGAGAAAAGCTGAGCTGGTAAGGATCCTTGCTGCCCATGGCCCTTCACTGAAAACAATGCTGCTTGGCTGGTAACATGAAACAGCATTGCCACTATCTCATGTCTTCTTTAGCTCGTGCTGCATCTTCGCTACGGTGCCACATTACTTCCTGCTTAGCACTCTTTCCGTCCTCGTTGCCCAGCGACGAGGGCGATGAACTCGCAGACTGGGGCAACGAGCGAAATCAGATCTGCAATAAGTCAAAAAGCCTACTGCGGCGATCCTTTGCATCGTGGGCCGGGATGTGGATGACGACCAATTCAGAAACCGCGTGGTCAATTCTGGAACCGGAATTCGGGAAAAACCGACATTCTGAAACTTAGCTCATGGACTGCCTGGTCCAATTCCGGAACTGGAACGACCCAATTCGAGAACCTTGAAGTCGAAATTCAGGAACCAGTGGGTCAAAATTCAGGAACCAAGGAATCTGTCCGGATATGTTGCTGCCAGACAGATATATAATTCCGGAACACATGGATCTGGCTTCGTGCATTTCGTTCACGCTGCTTCAAATCAGGTATCTGGAGCTAACACCAAGCCCGAAACCAAACCCCAGACCCTGGAGCCGAAAACCCTAAGGCCGAAACCCTGAAGCCGAAATCCCAAGGCCGAAACCTTAAGACCGAAACGCCAAGGCCCAAACGACACGTTGAACTCTAATCCCCAAACCCTGAAGCCGAAAGCCGGACCGAAGGAAATCCCACGGCCGACACCGAGACCCTAAAGCCGAAATCCCCAAGCCGAAACCCCTAAACCAAAACCCTACGAGGGTAACCCTGCAACCGAAACCCTAAGCCCGAATCCTAAGGCCGACAACAACAATCCCAACACCAAACCCTAAACCCTGGAGTCGAAAACCCGAAGGCCGAAACCCTGAAACCCAAATCCCAAGGCCGAAACCTTAAGTCCGAAACCCCAAGGCCCAAAGGACACCCTAAACTCCAGCCCCCAAACCCTGAAGCCTTAAAGCCGGAATCCGCCAAAGCAGAAACCCTAAACCATCCTAAACCCGAAATCCCAAGGCCGAAACCGAAACCCTAAAACCCAAATCCTTTTATGGAAACCCCAAAGCCTAAATCCCAAAGCCGAGACCATACAAACGAAACCCCGAAGCCCTGAGGCCGAATCCCTAAAGCCGACACCCTAAGGCCGAAACCCGAAACCGTGAAGCCGAAACCCTGGGGCCGAAACCCTAGGCCCGAAACCCTGAGCCCTGAAGGACGAAACCCCAAAACTTTAGTCCCCAAACTCTCAAGCCTAAAGCCGGAATCCCCAAGGCAGAAACCCTAAAACCGCAATCCCATCGCCGAAACCGAAACCCTAAAACCGAAATCCTAAGGCCGAAACCCTCAAGCCGAAATCTTAAACCCGAAAGGAAACCTTACAGCCGAAACCCTAAGGCCGAATCCCGAAGCCCGACACCCTAGGGCCGAAACCTCGAAGCCCTGAAAGACGAAATCGCGAAGCCGAAACCCTCAAGCCGAAACCCTAAGCCCGAAATCTGAAGGCCGAAACCCTAAAAGCCGAAATCCGAAACCGAAACGCCAAGTCCGAATCCCGAGGCCCGACCCAGCAGCCGGACAGGCACGGTTCCTGAATTCGGCCTCTCGTGGTTTATGAATTGGGGCCGTCGGTTTTCTGAATTGGGTCGTGTCTGTTCCGATCCGCTGGGCCTGAATTGGTCCATGCAGTTCCTGATTTCTGTGCCTGAATTACGTGGTCAGCTCCTGAATCGGTCTACACTCGCCGAAATATGCAGCCGGTAAGTTAGTGTATCAAGGTTACCAGGCTATTAAAGTAAACATGACTTTGCGTGAGCGGCGCGATTCCACTGTTCAGTTGTCGAGATGCAGCCAAGTGACTCGCTGAGCTTCGACCCAACAGAAGATCTCCTGTTGAACATCCTGTCCTGGCACATGCAAGCGGGCGGGCCTCGCTTCCCAAAGCACCTTCAAGCAGTCTTCAGCCTTGCAAACTCCACACTCCCTGACAAACCCAAAAAGCACAGGGCAAAGCGCACAGAAACTAGGCTGCCACACAAGCATGGCATTGCAGCTGGAAAGGTTGCCCCGGTTCCATGACCGTTCTGATTCATGACCCACCCAGTGCCCAGGTCTGAATCGGAGCCGAGGGCAGCATAGGCCCCCAGAAGACAAAGCCGGCAAACTAAAAGCTATCAGAAGGTTGCCTTTCTGGGCTTCGTTCAATTGCCGCGTCCTGGCTGCTGGAGCTTGAAGATGCGACGTTCTCGTCTTCCTCTCGTTCCTGAGCAAGTGAGACGAAAGCGGTGAGCAAGGCAGCAAACATGTCATTATTACAGCCTTGCCTGCGCAACTTGGTCATCTTGATCCGCACAGGAATCATCCTGCTCGATTTCAACCATACCTTCGTCACTGATGTCCTCCCACTGGTTGTCATTCCCGCGCACGCTGTGAAAACTAACCTGAGTCGACAGCCTCCGTAGGGCTCTGCGATACGGCTTGTGAAATGCACTCGTTCTCAGCTGTGATATCCACTTGGCGACGTCATGCATGCCAAACCCACGGCAAGGCCAAGTGGCGTTTTTGGAGAGCTTGGATGGAGACTCTGCCATCGCTGGTGCAACCGCCAAACATGCACTTTGTCCCAGCATCGTGAACTATTCTACCGTCAATTTATATGTTGTGCCCTTCGTGCACAAATAGATTCCCGGTCGTTGCCATTCGTGCAACACTGACTAGGAGCCCACAAGATTTCGAGCACTCACCTCCTTCCTGACTGGTTGGATGTGCAAGCAGCATGCAAGCAAAATCGAATCATTGAGACCTGCTGAATGTTGCAGAACATCGATCCTGAGTTGAAACCTCTGGATCAGCCACATGCAATCAAGTAAGCTTAGTCCGGCACAACAGTCGAGCCATGGAGCTTGGCTGAGAGTCAGTGTCTACAGGTATCGACGTCACCTCCAGCATTGGAGAATCGTTGCGATGCATGAGCTGTCACTGTCAGAGTGTTGCGCAGGCCAATGTGCACTTATACCAAACATGCAAGATGATGCTGCCGAAGGGTGTGACTCCAGATCTCACAGGTACCACCGACACCTTGTCAGTGACCTTGTATGACGGACCCACGTCCTGCCATCTTTTGCAAGGCTGACCAGCCGACGAAACCCTACCAAGCTCGATAGCAACATGGCTGGAAACGACCAAATGTGCAACGGTAGCAGAAATTGATGTACGTGCATTGTGCCACAAGTTTTCACACTGTCACCCGCTCCTGCTCCAGGAGCCTGGACTCCAAGAGACTGAAGTGAAAAAAATGAATTGAATGAAGATCCCCTTCTTGGATATGCGGCAAATGCCATGCACCATCACACTCATAAACCCCAAAACCATCAGGGCCTGTGCATCCATGACCTTGCTTCCTTGACACATGAACCGCCTGTGAATTCACCAACACCCTTCTCGCACCGTCAGAGTTGAGAGTCTTTCCCACTCCGCGGTCCAATACACCAGTGACTGTATTGCCTCAAGCTTGCTGAGCTCGTGACATTACATTGAGCCTTGGCACCACAAGAAACGACGATCTGCAGATTCGATGCTGACCCAACATTGTACAGAAGTGGTTTGGCTGCTCAGGCCCCCGCACAGATTTCGCGGCAATGTGTGGACATGAACTGATGTGAAATTCATTGTGTGATTTTACAATACTTCATGTCTGACCTGACAATCAAGAAACCTACCCATGTCCAAATCAACACCAAGTTGCATCTTCGTGGGCTGACGATGCAATATGTGAAAAGCCGTAAGTGGCGTCCTAAGATTTCTTGTCTCTGTCCACAACAGATGAACAGTGACTACATGAATTTGTCTTGTTCATCTGCTTGTCAATACTGTCTGCCGACAGCGAGCCGACCGTCCTCAAATGTAGGTAGCAGTCACGAATCTGGACAAGGGGCTGCGATGTTTTTGGATGCCGGGAGCCCCAATGAAAAATCGAATTATGTGAGGTGTCTGCAAAAGAATTCAAGGCAAGGAGCCTTATCATATAATTGTTGGAAAAATGATGTTTGTCGAGGGAACAAGCTGAGGAAACCGTGGGCTGAAAGAGAATACGTTGGAATTGCTTCACAAGACCAAACCTTGCTGAACCATCCATCCTCAACAACTTTTCACATGATGTAAGATGTAAACACAAATCTTCCACAAGAATTCATTACACGTGTAATTGTCAACGACTGGCAGCTTTGCCTCACAGCCAACTGATATCAGGTGCAAAAAGGGGAAACAATTTAGACGAGCTGACATCTTCAAACGGATAGGAGCTCGGCCAACACACTTTAAGACAGTAAAGGGGAACAAACATGGGACTGGGCGGGCGGGCGCAAACTGACCTATGAGGCGCCCTCACGGGCAAACTTTGCCATGGGCAATGAAAAGCTGTCAGTGACCCTAAACTGAAACGAAACATTTTTTTCCAAACAAAAATTGATGGCAAAAAACAGCCAAACTGAGTGAAAGGAAAATGAACGGATTTGTCCATAAAAGTTAAATTGGGTTGTGCAAAACAGCGGTTCTCACATCAGGTCAACAGTCACATTTTTCCAAACACAAAGTTCCAAAAGTTCCCATTCAAGAATTTTTGACATGATACAACATTATCAGAAGATTTGAGGGTGGGACGCCTTGGAAGCCCCATATCTACAATATTTCCCTGCTTTACAATGCAGATCACTCTTAAAAGCGTTGTAAAATACTTGCAATTGCACTTAGCTCCATCCACCTTTGTACTGAATCCGTTTCCGTCATGCCTGGCAAGCATTTGTGCAGCATTCGTTTGAAAGCTGACCAAATAATGGCCAAATATATTTATGACAAAAGTATGGCCGCACTGAATGTAGAAGATAAACCTTTTTTTGTTTGTCTGCACAAGGTTTGCACGAATTTCTGGCTGGTTGTGAGCTGAGGAAAATCTTTTTTTGTTTGTCTGCACAAAGCCTGCACGAATTTCTGGCTGGTTGTGAGCTGAGGAAAATCTTTTTGTGTTTGTCTGCACAAAGCTGGCACAAATTTCTGGCCCCAACCAACTC